CCAGCCAGGGCCCTGACTTAAACCCAATTGAGCATCTCTGGAGAGACCTAAAAATGGCTGTTCACCAACGTTTACCATCCAACCTGACCGAACTGGAGAGGATCTGCAAGGAGGGATGGCAGAGGATCCCCAAATCCAGGTGTGAACAACTTGTTGCATCTTTCCCAAAAAGACTCATGGCTGTATTAGATCAAAAGGGTGCTTCTACTAAATACTGAGCAAAGGGTCTGAATACTTAGGACCATGTGATATTTCAGTTTTTCTTTTTTAATAAATCTGCAAAAATGTCAACAATTCTGTGTTTTTCTGTCAATATGGGGTGCTGTGTGTACATTAATGAGGAAAAAATGGCTGCAATATAACAAAGAGTGAAAAATTTAAGGGGGTCTGAATACTTTCCGTACCCACTGTATATCATGTTTCTAAAATGACACATTTTGCTTAAAGCCAAATCAACCTTAAAAGAATAAATGTACAAGTTGAAAAACTCATCTTGTCTGAATCAGGAGAGAAATATGCACAGATATAGCACCGTTTATAAGTGAAAACGTCCTAAACATTTAATGGTGGATTTGTATCTCGCAAGCATGCAGCTTTTCACGTCACAATAAGATGTTAATTGATGGACTGTAGTTATGTAGATTACTTGTGGATCATTGTGATGTTTTTATCAGCTGTTTGAACTCTCAAACTGACGGCACCCATTCACTGCAGTGGATCCATTGGTGAACAAGTGATGTAATGCTAAATTCTCATTTTTCACTATTCCTTTAAAAAGAGTTCATAAGGGTCATTTGTTGGCTAAATGGGCATTACTGCTTGTGCTGTGCTCACTGCTGCAAAGAAACGCTGGGGAACATTGTGTTCGGTAAAGAGATCATATCTGACGAAACCACATGTGGACAAACACAAAGTTTGTCTGACTGATTTTAGATTTTAAAATTTACGGTCAGAAATGTTTTTGTCATTTTTGCAACCATTTTCAATCGCAGTTTGGGAGCCCTGCATATTTTATTTGAAGTCCATTCGCTCAGGAACTGAATGAGCACATTTTAAAGCTCAGAATGAATAAAAAAGCTGATAACCAACCAATGACTTGCATTAATTGCATCTGATGTGTGCAAAGCCCCTCAAAAATAGGTTTATAAGTTATCACTTGATATCATCACATACTCTTTGATCGCCGATGAGTTTGGCAGTCATGGACAGTGACATGACCAGAATGACAGCAGATCCAGCTCCCAGCAGCACGGCGGCTCCATAAACCCGTGTACCCATGTTTGTGTCCACCAAAACCCAAAAGGAAAATGCCATTATGGGCACAAGGCCTATAAAATAGGCCATCTGCAAAGGCAGAAATTAAATATGAGGTATTTTGAGTCACAGTATGTTGAAGCAGTGAGTGAAACTGTGAAAACCTACAGAGGTGCCGATCCATTTGTTAACAGGCTTCATAACCAGAGAAGACACAAACCCACTGACGTACATGACCAGGGGAACAGCTGCAATGTAGTTCTGCAAAAAAGAGAGGATTTTCTGCTCAGTTTTACATCTGCTTTATTGTGCCAGTTCAATGCTGGAAAAACCAGCTTCACTGTACACATGTGGTATTGTAATTAAAAGTACAAATACACTAAGTTAATATTAGTTTCTTTGTCTAAGTAATGAAAGTCAATGCGCTCCATTGTTCCATTGGATCCGTTTGGCGCTCATTGCATGATCAAAAACATCTTTTGTGTTCCACAGTTATTTTAATGTTATTTACATACCGTTATAGTGTTTATTCATATTTTTAAATGAAATTTTTTAGATATTTAGTTTTCATTTTAGTTTAAGTTTTTATAATTTTGTTATGTGCTTTTGTCATTTTTATTAGGGTTGAGAGATTTATTAATAGTTTTAGAGTAAATGACAATTAGAAATGTTTCTTTTTAGGTGAACTATCCCTTTAATATTCTCATGGTTACTGGATTTTGATGATCCCCCCAAAAAAACTTTGGTTGGATTTTGTATTGGTAAGTGTCATGTTTCTCACCTTTGGAAGTGATAAGGAGTTTGTCAGATACATTGGGATGTATGTTTGGGACAAATTTACAATCAGTCTTGTGCACATATATTGTACTGCTACCTGGAGTAGGAAAAAATATATACCTTTATTGTTTTTCAACAGCATACTGTGAAATATTTCATAATTAGATGGATTTTTACTTGTTTGTAGTGTACACATAAATAAAGCTTTTTGTGTGTGTGTTGATCAGATCTCCATGAGATCACCTGATAGAAGGCAGGCTCAATGAGCCAGTGTTTCCACAGTAGCAGGGGTCCGGAGATTTGGGAAGAGCTGGGGATTGGAGGCTGAGATTTCCCAGTCTCTTCACTCTCCTGAGGCTGGACTCCTTCTTCCTTAGTGCCCAGGTGAAAGATGACGGAGGTAACAGTACCGATGGCCCATATTATGAGTGCCAGATACTGTCACAACAAAGATAAAGCAGATTTTACAAAGAAATTAAATAGTAGATTATATTTCGAAGAATGCTGGTAACCAAACAGTTTCCGTTCCTATTGATTTCCATTATATTTTTTGTCCATACAATGGAAATTAATGGGAACGGAAACTGGTTACCAAAATTCTTCAAAATATCTTCTTTTATTATTTTCAAAAGAAGAAAGTCATACAGGTTTGGAAAGATGAGAATTTTTATTTTGGGGTGGAAAATCTCTTTAACTCATGATTTCTATCAAGCTGAAAACAGACAATCAAAGTACTAAATCTGTCAAACTGATCTCTAAATTGGGTGTATATTTGCATTTACTCACTCTGAATGTGAGAACATCAACCCAGCCCAGACTCTGGGAAATCGATGGGTCTTCTGTATGTTGGGATTGGAAGTGGAACAAGATCCACGCCACAGCATATACCGCAATGTTTGCCACCACTGTAAAAGCATACCTGTTAAGGAAAGCAAACAATTTTATGTATATCAATAACAAAGTTAAATAAGGCCACAAAATGTCTTCCATGAAAGCCAAAGTTTAATTTAAAGTCACATTGAAATATACGTTAGTGGTTATTCTTCCGTATTCTGACATAGATTGAAGTGTAGCAGATTATTGAAAAAGGAAAATGTAGGCAGGAACTTGGTTCTAACTATCGGTTGTTGATTGGATGGGTGCAGACAATAAGAAGAATAAAACAAAAAGATAACATGAATTTAAAAAAATAGCTAGGGTGATTTTTCATTGCATTCCAACTTTAAAATGAGAAAACCATTTTATAGTTGTTTTCCTGTTTATATTTCCAAGACAAAATGTTGCTAATAGTGTCACTGACCTTAAGACCTTAAAGTTTGGCAACATTATTGCTCTACATTGGTTGTTTGACTTGAGGAGGTAGTGATACTGTACCTGTATGATGTTAGTTCCACTTTGGCGTGCTCACATGTGACCAGTTCAGGAATGAGCGACAGATGGGATATCTGGGTAGCAGCCCAGCCGAATTGGAAGATAATGATGAATGGGATGGCATAAATCAGTCCTGTGGTCTGTGGGGTTTTCTCATCACATCCAATGCAGGGATTGAATATGAAGGGAAAGGAGGCAAACACGCTTATTGTTCCTGGGAGGAAATGGACAGTAAACTGAACAGTTAGTGCTGTGTAATAATGACACTCAGGACCATTTTCTGCAGCATGACGTTGGTTGTTTGCATTTGTAGTGCCTGTTACCAAAGTCATTGTGAGAAAAACAAAGATACAAAACAAATACCTTTCTTTAATTTATGGTAAATATATTTCATAAATATTGAAACTGGTAAAGTATTTATAACTATAACCCAACCCTTTGTTGCAGTGGTGCTACTAAGTGACAGCTTAAGGCTAAATTTGCAAACCTGTTTCCCATTCTTACATTTTTATAATTCTTTAGTTTTGTCAGCTTCAAATATTTCCCTATTGATGTATAACGCCAAACACACGAACCACGTACAAAATGTGTAGAAATCAAAATTTAGCTCGAGTTTCTGAAATTTACGATCAATTAATTGGGGAAACACTTCCGTTTTTAAGTTGCAAAGCTTTATTTTGTAGCCTATTCGTGGAAAGTGCATCTGACAGTCCCCTGACTACAGCTGACCAGCTTCCGTCTAATTTCCCCGTTTGCTTTGAATATGAATCTTGAAGTTTGCAGGGATTTTTTAATGGGGTTTCGGCGGAATACCCCTACTACAGATTATTGTAAAGCACCATGGCAACTTGCTTTTATTTTATAACCGTAATCCTATGGAAGTAAAAATTCAAGAAATATATCAGACAAGAATCGATCGAAACAGTCAATTTATTGTAGTTACAAACACAGCTGCAAGTTTGAACTCACACTCTTACCCACTAAATGCCAGGTCTTTCTTTTCCCATACTTCCCACATCCTGGGGTCCGATCGGACTCGTAACCGATGAGCGGAGTGCAGATCCCGTCCGCGATCTGACCGACCAGCAGCAGCGCACCTGCGTTCGTATCCCTGAAACCGAGAACCGAGTGATAATACACCAGTAAATATGTGAACCACATAGACGCGCAGAGGTCGTTGAAGAAATGCCCCACGGCGTACGTCAGGCGCCTGCACACGGGTAAAGTTAGCGGCTGATCGGACATCGTGAATGAAGGAAACGGTAAAGAAAGAGCGACTCTCTTAAGCGCAGCTAGCAATGAGTCAAACGACTGAATAGAACTGAACCCTGAATCCCACTGAAAAGGATCAGAGTGATGCTTAAGTTTAGAAGTAAAAGTGAAATGGTTGCTGCCACTGATTGTTTGCATCCAGCAGTGCCCGTTTTCGGTTTTAATTCTCCATCTCACACCCACGCTATCCAGGGAAAGGGGATGTTACTATGACACGATTTTAATAGACAGCACATGCCCTCTTTTTAAAAGAGGAAAGGACAATCTACCAACGTCAACTTTGACTCTGTAAACGAAAACAGCACATTATCAGAACTTCAATTTAAAGGGAAGTTCTAGCAACCAAAACTTAGCTAGGCTACACACAAAAAAAGAAGTTAACATATATAAATCAAGTGCAAAAATAACTAAATAAAAGCAATAAACCTAAATAATTCAATCAATTTATATATTTCTAATATATTAACCCATAGGTGGTTGCTGGAGCATTGCTAGGCGCGCTTGAGTCAAGTTTTGGCATAAGAAGCGGAGGAATAAGCAATCAAACAACACAAATATGTTTTAGTAAAACAAAATCAATTTTTGTTCTGCGCGTAACCAATAAAAGCTGATAAAGTAAAAACCTTTAGAACTTAATAATATGATTATTTTACAATGGACATCTACAGCTTCAAATGTTTTTGTAGTTTGAAACAGACGGTGTTAGTGTTCCTAAAATAAAAATGCAGAATCTATTAACCCTAATGTGTTAACAGATGACTAAACCAATCGCCTGATAACTATTCTTTTTTTAAACCTCACAAGATCTGATGCACAGATGACTCTGAACATACGGTCATATGACATGTGACAATACCCCAGACATTCATCATAAAGTAATGATTATGTCACATCTAGCATTTAAAATACACCAAGTACTAAATGAGTCTAATACGAATGACCAGCAGGTAAATTAATGAGTCAGCAGCTTATGAATTGCAATTTAATTAAATCCCATTAACTTTTAATTAAATCTTAATTACTTTTGTTTTATACACACACACACACACACACACACACACACACACTATATGGACAAAAGTATTTTGGACACACCTCATAATTATAAAATGTATGTGTTTCAATCAGATCCACTGCCACAGGTATATAAAATTAAGCATGTAGCCTTGCAGTCTGCATTTACAAATATTTGTAAAAGAAATGTGCTGTTCTGAAGAGCTCATCTGTGCTAGATATCTCACGGTCAAATGTAAGTGGTATTATTGAAAAGCAGAATTGTTTAAGAACAGCAGCAACTCAGCTACGAAGCATGAGACCATGTTAAGTCACAGAGTGGGGTCATTGAGTGCTGAGGTGCGTGGTGTGTAAAAGTCGCCAACGCTTTGCTGACTCCATAGCTGCAGAGTTACAAACTTCCACTGGCATTAATATCAGCACAGAAACCCTGTGGAGGAGGCTTTATGGAATGGGTTTCCATGGCCAAGCAGCTGCTTGCAAGCCTCACATCAAGTACAATAGCAAGCATCGAGTGGTGTAAAGCACGCTGCAACTGGACACCGGAGCAGTGGAAACTCACTTTCCTGTTTGGCAGTCTGGTGGGTCTTCCTAACTGCATTGTGCCAATTATTAAGTTTAGTGGAGGAGGGATACTGTTATGGGCTTTTTTTCAGTGGTCGGACTATGCCTCTTACTTTAGTGAAGGGAAATCTTAATGCTTTAGCATACCAAGACATTTTTGAACAATGCTTTGCTTCCAACTTTGTGGGAACAGTTTGGCGAACACCCTTTTCTATTCCAGCATGACTGTGCCCTAAAGCACAATGCAAGATCCATAAAGACATGGTTGGATAAGTTTGGCATGGAAGAAATTGATTGGCCCACACAGAGCCCTGACCTAAACCCCATCCAACACATTTGGGAATGGAGATTGCAAGCCAGGCCTTCTCGTCCAACATAAGTGCCTGACCCCCACAAATGCTCTACCGCAGGGCTGTCCAAACTCGGTCCTGGAGGGCCGGTGTCCTGCAGAGTTTAGCTCCAACCCTAATTAAACACACCTGAACCAGTTAATCAAGCTCTTACTAGGCATAGAAACTTCCAGTCAGGTGTGTTGAGGCAAGTTGGAGCTAAACTCTGCAGGACACCGGCCCTCCAGGACTGAGTTTGGACAGCTCTGCTCTACTGGATGAATGGGCAAAAATTTGCACCCAACTCCATATAATTGTCTATGTATGTAGAATGTGATGTCTTTAAAGTCCCTGTGTGTGTGTATATATACACACACACACACACACACAGGAACTGTCCAAAACATAGATTCTACAACAATAGTCATAACCATCAAACATTTAAAATAAACAATGCAATCACTCAAAAAAATATCAGTGCAGAACACTTGCTTAAATTTGAAACATTTTACTTGGAAAGGCACAAACTATGATTTCCTGGTAAATAAACTTTGATGTGAGAAATAAAACAAGAACATATTTTTCTTCTTTTCCTTAAACGGTCCTTGAACAGATATCAGCCCTGTGCGGGATGCGCTCCCACATAAGTTTATATAGTCTGTCGGTTGTCTCGTCGTTTCATTTCAAGCCCACTTTGTCTTCTTTTTTTCCAAAAGTGCAATAACAACAATGACAAGAGAATAATATCCATTTGTCTCTCCGTCCCCCACAGTACCTGAGGCCAGGAACTGTGCTACAGAGTCCACAATAACAGAAAAAAATTGAAGAATTTATATATTTTTTTAAAAGACAAAAGGACAAAAAGAAAGCATTTCCAGGACACTACAACTGCTTCACAACCCAAGGATTCCTTTAAAAAATAAAAAATAAAAAATTTAAATTACAGGAAGAAAAAAAAGACTCCAGAGTTTGGTTGAGATGAAATGTGTCCTGTTATTTTGTAATTTAGTTGGGGTCGTTCCCAGTGCAGAGGCGACTCCTGCCCTCACGTTTTTAATCACAAATAAGATCTATTTCTAAGAAAACTTAAATCATTTGTTCACTGATGTAACGTCCCCTGATCAACAAACAATAAACATTTCAAACAGCATCTTTTCACACACTGTGGTCTTATATCATCATCTTTCCATCTTGTGTGATTATGTATCTTCATTATTCTCTTTTTTTTTTGTTGGTAGGAACCAGAGTCTGTTGGACAGTCAACATCATTCCTTTGCACTCCATTAAGTGGTGAAGCATCTATGAAAGAAAGTGTGATGGGGACAGAGAGAGATGGAGAGAAAGAGAGAAAGACAGCGAGAGAGAGATCTGTGTATTTGCTTGCATTTCAAACTTAACAGTGACCAGAATGTTTCAAGTTCTTTTCAAAGAGTGCGCTTCACTTGTGCCTCTGAAGAGCTTTCCTCTTTCTTCTCTTAAAAAAACAACAGCACCTAAAAGAAAATCAGAGCAAAATTTACTACAGACAAAAAAATAAAAAAAATGGAAATAATGAGGCATAATGAGGGACATTAAAGCAGTAAAGGGACATTCATATAGCAATTTGCAGAGACAAAATTAGCAATTCATAAATAATTTATTTTCAATTAGAATTTAAGAGCTATAACGATGCAAAGTTGGCATATCCAGCATTGAAACATTTATGCAAACGAGCAGTGACAACCAATGGTAACAAAGATGGCAAAGATGATTTTACAGTGATTAATTGGTCTGTTATGATTCATCTCAACCCACATACAGGGATAATATCAAACTAATAATACAATGAGTGAAAAGGTGTCAGCAATTAATATGCTGCATTACTTTATGTAATTTGTATACAAACACTTTTACACTCAGAATATTATTTTTTTAACAATGAAAACTGATTTGCTATTTTAGGAACACCATTGGGGGACTTCTGGTGATAAAAAACGTACTTTGTGTCATCTGCCACCTCTACTTCAGCGGGTGCAGTGATGGGAGCGTTGGAGTGTCCTGCAGTTGGGTCGTCTGTGTTCAGCTCTCCATTCGTGGAGCTCATGACCTGAAGATCACACAGACAGAAACAATAAAAACATGTCATGCAATCCCAAGAACTGAACTATTTACTTCAGTGTGTGACATTTGAAAGTCACAATTTACACTCTAAAGAAACATATGCATCCTGTAATGGGTCATTAAAAACTGTGAATTGTAAATATTAAAGATATGAGATTCATATGACCAAAAGAGCACACTTCTTTCAAAGTATGTGAATTAATCTAATAAACAAATGTACTGACTGCCATTTCATCAAAATATAAATTGACAGATAAAACACAAAGTACTTCCTAATAAATTTACCACAACCAACTTGTGCAACCACAACACTCATCCTTAAAGATTATACACATATATGGGAAAAGGGAGGAAGCAAAGTATACTGTGAATATGTGATCATTCAAATTAGTCATCTTCTTTTTTTTTTTTAGGTAGAAAATGTGACTACACTGCAACATTCCAGTTATAAAAAAACATTAAAAAAAAAAAGTTTGTTTGGGCCTCTCATATTCAACCCATAAAAAAAAATAATTTTGTAGAACTTGTAACTGGAATCTTTGTGCTGAAGCAGTGTTATGATTATTAATGAAAACAAAATATTTTTTCTTATACACTAATGTTCAAAGGTTTGGGATCGATATGTTGTTGTTTTTTTAAAGAAATTAATATTTTTATTCATCTAGGATTCATTACGTTTACCAAAAGTGAGAGTAAAAGTGTTTATAATGTCACAAAATATTTCAAATTCGAACAAATGCAGTTCTTTTGAATTTTGTATTCATCAAATAACCTTGAAAAAAAAAATGAATATCAGCTTCTACAAAAATATTTAGCAGAACAATGTTTTTTAGCACCAAAATATAATTATAGAATAATTGTAATTGCTTAGTAATGGCTGCTGAAAATTCAGCTTTGCCAAAGGAATACATTTATATGATATTCAATGGGAAAAATAATTGTATTTATTTTAATGTTTCACAATATTACTGTTTTTTTTTTTGATGAAAGACATGCAGCCTTGGTAAGCAAAATGTAAAAAAAAAAAAATTTAAAACCTAAAAAATAAATATATCCCAAACTTTTGAATGTTAGTGCATCACAAAACTGAAAAATTGAAAATAAACCAAAACACATTTTCATGGCTCCAGAACTAATATAAAATCTAAAGTAAAAAAAAGTATT